AAAACAAAATAAACCAAACCAATCTAAACCAAAGAATACATATTCTATTCATATGAATCTATCGTAAAAATGTTGTCGGCATTAAATAACACATTGAGGTTGGTATGCCACAAAAACAAAATAAACCAAACCAATCTAAACCAAAGAATACATATTCTATTCATATGAATCTATCGTAAAAATTTTGTCGGCATTAAATAACACATTGAGGTTGGTATGCCACAAAACAAAATAAACCAAACCAATCTAAACCAAAGAATACATATTCTATTCATATGAATCTATCGTAAAAATGTTGTCGGCATTAAATAACACATTGAGGTTGGTATGCCACAAAACAAAATAAACCAAACCAATCTAAACCAAAGAATACATATTCTATTCATATGAATCTATCGTAAAAATGTTGTCGGCATTAAATAACACATTGAGGTTGGTATGCCACAAAACAAAGACCAAAAAAAAAAAAAAAAAACAATAAACAGAGCACGTGAGAAGTTGTAAGGAAAATGGAAACGAAGAAGACACTTTTTTTTTCGAATCAAAGAGACAGTTCTTCTAAGATACATAACGAGGAAAGACGACTTGGAGAATTCAACACTCACAGAACATGTTGAAAGCACTAGAGACAGAGGAAGATAATGAGTAACTTGCCTAACATGTTTGTATAAATGCATGACAGAACAGAAATGAGAAGGATAGCAAAAATAAATCTTTTGTTAAGCATTTCACCCCAAGAAAGGCAATGGCACCACTGGTAGGCAAGGGATTATAGAGAGGGAAAGGAAGATAAAGAAGTGGGTGGGGATTGAGGAAAGGATGGAAAGAAGAACGGGGATCAAGATCAATACATCAGAAGATGTCGATTGACATTACATTTAAATTTGTTAAGATTAAAGTTATCAGGGAAGCATGTAAGACGAAGAGAATTCCACTGTCGGGAAATGCGAGAGAAAAAGTTGTTTCGACAGGGACCGATATGCCAACCGTGTAGAACGTTTAAATTACTGCAGTCGGACATCAGTGAAAATAGCTCGTTTTGGCAGGGGCTATGAAAATATTGGTAGAAAAGACAGAGGGAAGCTACACGTCTGAGAAAGTGACTCGAGTCGAGATGCCAGGTCAGGACGGATCACATTGCATATCCATTTTTGGATTTTGTCGAGAACCTCGATATGAACAGCGGGGGCACCAGACCATATATGGCAATAGTATCCCATCTATAGATGAATGATAGATTTGTAGATATGAACGATGGACTCAGACGAGAAAAACCTTCGCGCGCGACACAGAGAACCAACTTTCCTTGCGGTAGATGAAGCTATTGATTCAATGTAGTTGTTCCACCTCAGGTCAGTGGAAAACGTGAGACCAATATGGCGCAGGGAGACGCTGTCGTGGAGTTGGGAATCAGCCATGATGATAGGAAGTAGAGTGGTTTCTCTATGGTTGGTAATTGACAGCTGAGTCGTTTTGAAGACATTAAAATTTACAAGCCATTTCCTGCCCCAGTCAAGCGCAACTTGGAGGTCCTTTTAAAGACCAATGGTCAGGTTAACTTTTTCATCAATGTCGCTATAAAGAATAGGAAGTTGTGGAAAGCTATGTTCTACGATATGACCTGAAGTGTCACAGTATATAAAAGAAGGATTCTAGACAGTAAGATTATAGGTACATTCAATGATGATGCCAATATAATTGCAAATCATTATTGTAAACTTCTTGGGCACGACGGTTTTATTTATTGATTTTTTTAGTCATAAAAGTTAATATTCCTTCACATTCTTTAAACATGACTATTTCCTACTTTGCCACGATGAATTCAAAGACATCAAAGTAATAGAATATCCCCAACCTCTCCAGATATTAATCCAATAGTAAACTCGTGGGAAATCGTTAAAAGAGATTTATATATTAATATATAATTCAGGCAAGGAAGATTTCTGGTAAACAATGAATATTGCTTCAAGTAACGCTAAATTCGAAACAGTAGAATAGTCATTGGCTTAAAGACTGATGAAGATTGCAGAATGTCAAAGAGCCAATATTAACACACAAATTAATAAGAATATTTTACTCCTATTTATTGGTTAGTGCCTTAATCAAATACCTTTTGGATTTATTTATAAATAAATATATATATATATATACTGTATTTTGTCCCAGATAACCTGCCACCTAAATTGCCAGTAAGGTTTTCGAATTTAGATATTATAAGTCGAAACTCACGTAATATATTGCCCATATGAACGTCAATATAGACTGAAAAATGCTAAGCATGTTTGTTGGTTAGTACATTAAAAAAACATACTTGCATGAAAAAATCTGACATTTTAAAGTCTCCTCAATATGGATTATAAATAGTCACCGAGGAAATTATTCGTACACCTATCAATTTTGAATATTTTTATCCATTTCTCAGAATCTAATCCCCGTATAATGCCAGGATTTTTATATGCTAATAAGCACAAAATAGGGAATATAAAACTCAAATTTCAGAACAATACGTTGAATACAACAAATTTGACAGGCGAGTTATGCAAAATAGGAAAAGACAAAATTATTTATACAGTATGAAAAATAGAAAAAAAATCGAAAAATTTTCACAATATTAATAGTCGATAGCATGGTCTCTTGTCGTTATAAATTGATGCATTCGTTTTCTAAAGTTTTTAATGAAATTTGAACAAGTCTTTTTCTGGGATTTTCTTCCATTCTTCAATTCCTGAAGGTTTTTTAGTGATCGACGATTTATTCGAACTTTCAATTCTTGCCATAGATTTCTAATAGGATCTAAGTCAGGACTCATTAAAGGCCAACAGATTATGAGAAATGGATAAAAATATTCAGAATTGATGGGTGTATGAATAGTTTCGTCGTTGACTGAATTTCACGAACTTGTTAATGAATCTATTTAACAGTGTTTAAGGGATCAGCTTTTATTACGGTGTCTGACTGTCAAAAATTGAATGCCAGCTTTCATTACAAAGATTAATTATTAACGTTTAATATAATTTTTCATGGTCAGAAGTTAATAAAATATTTGATTTGTCGGCAACTTTTAATGAACCGCATTTAATATTTCGCGTTTAATGATTCAAATTTAAATTTCAGCGTTTAAAGATCCGTGTTTAATGGTTCACATTTAATACACCAAAGTTAAGGTTTTTTGCTGAGTTATCCACATTTTAAAGTCAGGATTTAATGGCCCGCTTTTAATTGCCCATATTTAATGGTCAGTATTTAATGAACTGTATTTAATGAACTGTATTTAATGGTCCGCATAGAATGGTTTGCATTTAACTGTACATATTTATGGTCCCACATTTAGTCGTCCGCATTTAATAACCAATATTTATTGGTCAGCATTTAATGTTCCGAGTTTAAGGGTCTGCATTTAATGGTTGATATTTAATTGTATACATTTCAATATCAGCGTTTAATAGAGTGTTTAATTGTCACTTTTAATATCATCTTTAATGATCAATATTTAGTGGAGTATTTGAGGATCTGCATTTATTCGTCAGTGTTCAATACAAAGAATGGATAGCGTCTTGGATTGTGGAATCGGAGAGCCGAGGCCGAATTCCAGTCGAATCCATTACGTGCTAATACCCATGGTATGAATCTTCTTCTTCTTCCCCTCAGCTATGGGTAAATAGCAGGACAGAATGGTTTCTATAGTCTTGGGTGGCAACTGGTCTAGGAGAAGACAACTATGAATTCAAAACCTGATCATCTAGGTTGGGGGTTTTGCACTTAAAAAAAAAACTGACTTGTTACAGAAACCGCAACGATATCTTGCGGTCCTATGTTCCTTGAGGAATTTAAAAAGGGATAATAAAATTATTTAGTGGAGTATTTGAGGATCTGCATTTATTCGTCAGTGTTCAGTACAAAGGTGAATTGTCAGCAACCAATGTATACTGGTCAGTTTTTAAGTATCAGGAATTACTGCAAATTGTGGTGTAAAAGTCGAATTCGCAAGCCTAAAAAATCTAGGTGTCGACTTATGTAGCTTGTATAAAATGTAATAATTTATCACCGAGCCGTGAATAAGTGAAACAGCACTCCAAACAATTACGATACACCATTTGCCGTAACTCCATCAGCCTGACAGAAATATATCCCAATAAAATTTGTGTTTGGTGAACTTATTTGGCATATTAGCCCAAAAATTAATGTAAATTATTAAAATAGCAACACAAATTTCCTATTCTATTAACGCCGTATCACACATTGCATCCAGCACTAAGTGTAAACACTAACCAAAGCGCCGTTTAACTCAGGCAACTAGGTATTGTATGCGTGTTATCTGCTCAATTTCATCATAGTAGTAACAGTTTAATGACACATCATGGCATGTTTATTTAATATAGAGAGTTGAGGGCTTAACGTATACGGTAAGTACTAGCTTAACTCTGAATTTCGTGCCCTAAAAAATCTTGAGGTCGACTTGTACGCCAAGTCGACTTGTACGCCAGGTCGACTTGTACGTCACCAATTTATGGTAGTACGGTTTGAAATGGTAAGTGTTCAGTACTTTTTTTTAATGGTGTTCAGTATAGTGTTTAATGGTCAGTGTTCAGTACAGTTTTTAATGGTCAGTGTTCGGTACAGTTTTAATTATCTGCCTACGTACAGTCGTATATGTTTTTTATTCATACATCATACTTCGTGGTTATTTCCAATATCTTCGTTATTGGTGTATCTATTCTTTTACTTTAAGTTAAGTTTCTGTTTTTGAAGTGAATTTCTTTTTCTGTTTTCTTTGTTCTTAATCTTGAGCGTGCTACGATTATTTATCGTCAATTTTGTTTTATTTCAAGAAAATCGCTTTGCCGGTGCCTCGCCTTTGTGTTTCTATCTTAAAAGCTTTACTCGATATTCACGTTTTATCGTGTTCCCAATCTTAACTGCAGTTCGGTCGAAATACCGATAAGTTGAAATCCGATGCTTTTCCGATAAAAGAACAAAATAGGCTGCATATGAGTTTTATTTCATTTACCTGGATAAACAGTGAAACAGACACAAGCATGAGACCAGGCAGACAGAGAGGTAAATAGACAGAGAGATATGAAGAGACTGACAGAGAGAAATATGAACAGACTAAAATAAACAGATAGATAGATAGATAGATAGATAGATAGATAGATAGATAGATAGATAGATAGATAAAAACTGAGATAGATAGGGAGATAGATAAATAGATAGGAAAAGACTGAGATAGATAGATAGATAGATATGAAAAGACTGAGACAGATAGATATGAAAAAACTGAGATAGATAGAGAGATAGATATGAAAAGACTGAGATATATAGATAGATAGATAGATAGATAGATAGATAGATAGATAGATAGATAGATAGATAGGTAGAATTGCGGCCAAAATGATCAGAACGGCATTGTTTTCGTCAGAAATGTAGGTATAATTTTTTATCAAAGTTGTTTTATATTCTATAATTTTCACAGACAATAAATACGATAGTAATTGTTATTGTCTGAGATTTGGGTGTAATTTGAGAGGATAATACAAAAGTTATGCGTGATTTAGTGATTTACTGCAAAACCCATGCCGGCCAAAATGATCAAAACGGTTCCTTTTATTTCGTGTTTTAGTATATTTAACCGGCGAACTCTATTTTTTTTATTTTGTTTACGTGTCGGTTCGTTTACTAAACATTAGTAAGAATATCTGCAGTGTACTTTGTTAATATAATGCCACTTACTCCGTTACCAATTCGTCAGCAGATTATTAAGCTTCGAAAGAAGGATAATTTAAGTATTGGGTCTATTGCAAAGATTGTTGTGTTGTTCACGGTATTCTTAAGGTCTACGATGATTGTGGTTTGTGTGAAGCAAGAAAATCTACAGGTAGGCCAAGAAAAACGACCAAGAGAAAAGATTGAGTTATAGTAAAGTTGGTTAAAAAGGACAGATTTAAAACTGCTGCTGCTGTTTCTCGGGAAATGAGCATTTTACTGAAGAAAACTTTATCTTGAAAAACTGTGTCTCGTCGTTTAGTTGAACATGACCTACAAGCAAGAGCACCTGCAGTTGAAGCCACTGATCAGCTCCAAGAATAAAAAGTGTTGTCTTACCTTTGCAACCGAACATGTGTTGTGGTCTCAAGAAAAATGGCAAACGGTGCATTTCAGTGATGAATCTAAGTTTATGTTATTTGGCTCAGATGGGAAAAGGTACGTTCGTCGAAAAGGAAGTGAAAAATTGTGGCCTAAATGCCTTAAGACTAGTGTTAAATTCGGTGGAAGAAGTGTCATGGTTTGTGGGGATGAGATCTGGAGATGGTGTGGGCCCTTTGGTGCGATTACATGGAAAGGTAAATGCAGGAGTTTATAAACAGTCTTGCCTGTGCTGAGAAATGCAACTAAGCGACCACCCATATTCAGACAGGACAATGCCCAATGTCACAAGGCTAAGGTGGTCAGGAACTTCCTCAAGGCTGAAAAGGTTATTGTTATGGATTGGCCTGCTCAAAGACCAAATCTCAATCCTATTGAAAATGTGTGGAATATTCTAGGAGAACGTTCGAAAACCAGAAATCCTAAAACAACAGAGCAATTATGGAATGCCCTTCAGGAAGAATGGAATAAAATCACCCAGCAAGAAATTGAAAATTTCATTTCCTCATGCAGTCGAAGATATCAAAGTGTGATTGAAAGCTAAAGGGATTCACACTAAATATTAAATAATTCCAGTATTCTCTGTTATTTTTTATTATTTTGTTATTTTTTCAACCATTCTGAACATTTTGGCCGCAACTGTAGATAGATAGATATGTACATACTGAGATAGATAGATATGAACAGACTGAGATAGATAGATAGATATAAAAAGACTGATTTAGATTGATAGATAGATAGATAGATAGATAGATAGATAGATAGATAGATAGATAGATAGATAGGTAGGTAGGTAGGTAGGTAGGTAGATTGATAAGCACACACACACACACACACACACACATATATATATATATATATATATATATAAAGATTGGGATAGATATGAACAGACTGAGATAGATAGATAGATAGATAGATAGATAGATAGATAGATAGATAGATAAATAGATAGATAGATAGATAGATAGATAGATAGATAGATCATTTTTTATGTATTCAAATGAAAAACCTTATTCAAGAATGATCCTTCCTAAAAATAACGTGTCCTAAGAAAGTTTTCGAATATTTAATAAAATGGTATACGTAGGTTCCGAGTGGAATTTTACTCAAACACAAATAATTCCTTGTATGTTCCGAGGAGTTTTCCCCTTTGATCCCCGACTTTTGAAATTTACGCACAGTACCAGATTGACATGTAAGTCTCATCATTTTGCTGTTCAAATTGCTAAATATAAGCCTACGGTCAAGGCTAATGTTTAATTCTCTCCCACTTCTCACTTGAGGACTTCTCTGCCAACTATTTACTTTGCTTTGAAATACGATCTTCAGAAGATTAAATGTGACACCAATCTATCTACTTGAATCCGGGTTTTTTAATGTATTCTCTTTCTCTCCTCAATGTTTTCTTAGTATATCGTTTCGTCTTTGTGGCTTTATCGCCTTACTTGTGAAGAAATGATTTTTAAAAAAATAAAAATTCGAAAATTGCAAACGAAACAGTAAAATATGAAATATAAATCTTTTCGATCTAATTTAAGAAAGCTTTAAATCCATACCGCGCATTCACACTTGTGTATGAACCGACGCACAACTGACCCACCATATATATATATATATATATATATATATATATATATATATATATATATATATATATATATATATATTTGTATGCGAAATATATATATATATATATATATTACCCTCTCTTTAGCTTTTAACATTCGTCCCACACCCTCATACTTACACTCTCTCTAAATTCTATTTTTATTTCCGGAGTTGTTTTTTCTGTTTTCTTTTTGAATTTGTAGGTCTGATGAATTGGATCGTATTTACGATTCCAATGGAATAAATTATGACCATGGAATATTAGTGTTTTTATATATATATATTTATATATATATATATATATATATATATATATATATATATATATATATATATATATATATATCTGTGTGTATGTATAATGTATGTATATATATATATATGTGTGTGTGTGTGTGTGTGTGTGTGTGCAGATATGTAGAAAAAGGAAAGAACATGTTAGGTAAATAATCCGGAATTCTTTAGTATTTTTTTTTTATTTTTAAAAAAACAGTACCACATACAGAAGTAGAGCTTAAATTATAATTATTTTTTTTTTAAAAAATGTGTTTCCTTCGCTACATAAGAGTTCCCATGTTTTAAAAACGAGAGCCGGAAACCTCAATATCATTATTAAAATTAAATTGAGTTAAAGTATCAAGCCCTGTTTCATCCTCAAGTGAAAATTTAGGAATAACAAATCTTGAAATTTACGCATCTTTATAAGCATGTTCATTCGCAAAATTAATTACTATGGAAACGGCTAGGGCGGCCATTTTGGTAAGGGGTCTGTGAAATAATTTTTATCCACATTTCAGTCACCTTCGGAAAGAGGTCAAGCTGAGGGTAGGGTGGGGTATCCATTTCAAAGCGAATGATGACATTCATGTGCATACATCGTCTGGTCAGTCACAGCGAAATATTACTTGATGAGATACGGAGGGTGTACTATATAAGTGGCATGGCGTATTCTTGCCGTGAAGGTTTGCCTCGGCGGGACCAGGGAATGTAGTTCGTCTGAGCACTTTCCGTCGAAGTACCGATAGAAATTGGATTTTTAAAAAAATATTTTTTGTAGTTGGCATGTGCACTGATAGCCGCTGTAGGAGCCATCGAAAATTTTGAGGATTCTTCCAAAAACATAGTTGCTCTCCTACATTTCAAGTAAATAAAATGTACGAACAACTTTTTTATCACCAAATTGTCATATCATATAAGGTGCATACATTGATATCTATTACACACACACACACGCACAAACACACACAATATATATATATATATATATATATATATATATATATATATATATATATATATATATATATATAACTCCTATCAAAAAGTTGTTTCCCCGAAAAAAGTTAGGTGTAGGTTCGAGCCATGCCGGAAAACACATTTTCTTTCTCTATCTCTCTCCTCCATATATATATATATATATATATATATATATATATATATATATATATGCATACGCACGCACGCACGCACGCACGCAGTGCGCGCGCACACACACACACACACACACACACACACACACACACACATACACACAGAGGGTGTAACAACAAAATTGTCCAAACAGTGTAACAGAATAATTGTCCATCGCCTCAAATGAAATCAAATATGTAAAAACACCACTAAATTAATTGAATTTCTTTTTTCCAGGTTTTCAGATGAGAATTTTAGCCATCTTGACACCACTGTTTCGTAAGAGTCACTGGAAAAAACCCTTCAAGTTAATCAGCTAAAAAAAGGAGCGGGTAAAAATTGTTTTGCGTCAGACCCACTATGTTTTCCTAACTGAGCAATGGTGAGAGAAGAAAGATCATTCAGGCTTTCAGTAATGGTGCCAACATTCATACTCTGACTTTCTTGAAATCCATTCAAGAAACATCAAGATAACTTGGAATATGTTTAAAAAGGGTGAAACATTACAGAGTAGAAATGGATCATGATGTCACAACAGCAACATGTTCAACTTCAGTTAAAATACATTCTTATTGCTCAAAGTAGAGACAAATAGTGTTATGAAACGCTCGGAAAATTCCAGCAATATATCTTTAAACAAAACTATATGTTGTTCATTAGTACAAATGATTAAACAACGTTCTATGTTGTTATCCATTACCGTATTTTTTTATTATGCTTTTAAATACAAACGTTTGACAATGAAAAAAATACAAATAGTTATGTACTACTTGCACCCCTGAAGATGATCTTAGGAAAGATCGAAAGTACTTGTGAAATAAAAATAAAAGAAATTTAAACCACTATAGTAACATTTCTCTCATCCTTTAACATCAATATACGGAAAGGTATTCGTGAGTATGTATGGATTTTGGTAAAAATTAGCAGAAATAATGTCAGCAATTTATCATACATATATACATATATATATATATATATATATATATATATAAGAGAAATATATATTGTCTTTAATTTATATATATAAATATATATTGTCTGAAATATATTTTTTTCTGATATGTATATATATATATATATATATATATATATGAGAATTTTTTATAAATTTCTAGGCTCGATTCAGAAACTATCTCATAAAATATCTGATTTTTGGTCATTTAGTTAGATTTCAGGAAATGAGCCCGGCTGAAAATATTTCAACAGATTTGTCGTATTGAGACAGGCAGACAGAGAATACAAACAGGTTATATGATTGTGTCCGCCATTTTACTGCAATGCACGTATCTGCTTATAAGTCTGTGTGTTTTAGGGCGTGCTTTTCTCGCTTCGTGTGCGCATGCGTGTCAACTTGATGCTCAAAATAGACTTCGTTGGAATGAAATTGGCTAGAAATCCCAGCCTTCCTAAACAGAAAGCCATTATCCTTCCAAGTCAGATAGGATGCGTGCATTGTCAATAAACAACGAAATCCATTTTCTTCTCTTATCACGAATCCCGTTTCTGGCTCTCTCTCCCTCTCTCTCTCTCTCCCTCTCTCTCTTTCTCCCTCTCTCTCTCTCTTTCTTTCTTTTTCTTGTAATTCCTTTTCTCTTGAAGTCCAAGTTTTTTTTTTCTTATTCTCTCTTCGATTTTCGTACACACATGTATCGTATACAGGGTGCAGCAGAAATACCTCCCACATTTACCTCCCAGAAATTCCTCCAACATCGTAGTAAGACATTAGTGGTAATGGTGTCGTTATCTAGCTAATGTATTACCATTATATTGGAAGGATTTCTGGTAGGTACCTTGGGATGTTCATCTATCTAACACTGTATTACTGCCATACGTTGTTTTAAGTATATGATTCCTGATATTTCCTATAACCCATTAAAATCATAGAGGCATCAAATTAACTACCGCCTTAGCAGCAGTGATGTCTCTTGCGAAATTTGACCTGACAGAGACCAAACCTATCAAATCTAGTTTCAATTCAGAATTTTTCCATCAACCTCTTAGACTGGTTGCCAACCAAGACTATAGGACTCAGTCTGTCCTGCTTTTTACCTAAAGCTGGAAGTGAGATGGGATGGATTCAGACTTTTACCAAAGGTATCTCTGCGCGTAAGTGATTGCAATGAACTGGACTGGAATTCGAACTCACCACTGCCTTACTGTGAAGTGCCAAAAATATTTTTTTAAAGTTAGCCTAATACAGGTGTAACATATCCACTTAGGGCCGAACTCATTATTTTGACATGACTATTTTTCTTCTATGTATACTGTTCATTAAGAAAATGGTCGATCGCAGGTCTCCAAAAACCTCTTATCCCTTGCAGACCTTAGCAATGTTTGTCCTTTTGATAGACCTATCCCCCACTCAGTTCCAACATCCATTCACACAAGTTCTTCAGGGAGGTGGCCCTTTACATTCCGCTATCGAATTCCCCACTTGATATTCCCTGATAGTGTAAAGTTCTGCAAGCACACCTTACTCATAATGTGTCCCCACATTTAATTCAGACTATAAACGCCCTTTTTTACCATTTTTTAAAAGACGTCCTCCTTTTTCCATGCACTGTTTACAGAATTCTAAGTATCCTTCTGTAGGAAAACAATTCTGCTGCCTCCAGTTTTTTTTTCCTTCCTCTGCCATAGAAGTGGATTGATATCACATAATAGTTCAGCACACTTTTCTTTGTTTCTAACGAAATATTCCTGTTCTTTCTTAATACTAAGCTTAGCTTTTGGAAGGCATCTTCAAAGCTACATTTCCAGCATCTCTACATCATAGTACAGAATTCAAATATATGGATAAAAGTGTATAATATTAGAGATAGGGGGCGTTAATATAAAGATGGACAACAAAGTCTGTTTAAGGTGTGAACGCAGTCTTCCGACATGAAAGCACACGCCAGGACACATGGCCTGAAAATTGGATTCAAGCATGAAACAAACTGTCGTCGTTTATATACAAATATCAGAATTTATTTTGGAATTTGGTTTAGCATCCGATAATATATATATATATATATATATATATATATATGTTTGAGTGTGAGTGCGCGTGTGTGTCTGCTCTAAGAAGGCTGTAGAATTTGTATTCCATTTGTTCTTTTTCTTATTTGGGTATATATATATATATATATATATATATATATATATATATATATATATGTATGTATGCGTAGATATATATATATATATATATATATATATATATATGTATATATATATAAAATATATATATATATGTATATATATATATATATATATATATATATATATATATATATATATATACATACATAATATGGTGTACATGTGTATTTGTCAGGTGGTACACTGAGAAG